GGAATTCTGGGAGTTGAAGTCCACCCAGCTTAAAGTTGCTGAGGTTGAGAAACACTGATGTAAGGACTACACTAAACTTGAGAGGAAGAATCTGCATCTCCTTTAGAGCAAGCTTCTCAGATCGTGTTAAACTGGGGAAGGAACGACTTCTTACCTCATATGAAGTTTTTGATAGGGTGGCTTCATCCTCTTCCTCTCATGGTTCTGATTTTATCTGGGTTCTGTATTGACTGAGAATGGAAGGAGGAGAAATTCTCCAGCCATTTCTTGAGGGCCCATTTTCCTTTAGTGATGTGGGTAACATCACTGCAGAAAAGGTCACCTGGGATGAATTCTGCCTGATGTCTGAGATGTCTGGTCACCACAGAGATGTTTGTGCAGGACGTTCACGCTTCTCCCTTGTCCTCCTTGCATTGAGTGCAAGAGCCTCACTCTTCATCCATAGAATTTCTCCTTAATTATTTTCTCTTTTGAAAGAATTTCAAGAGCAAATCCTATTTTGGCAAACTGAATGAGAACTAGAAGGAAAAATACAGGAAATTGCTCTTCCTAGTTTTGCAGTGTTTCACTTTTTTTAATCGCTATCTTGGTTTGTTCTCTTTGTTGCTTGCTTCCTGCCCTAAGACCTACCAATATGGGGTGGGTTGTACAATTTCAATAAATTCAATAAATAAATGATGGTGGGCAGGCTTCTGGATGGTTCAGCTTCACCAGCCTCTGCAGGAGGTACAGAGAGCTGTCAACATACTCTGAACTCTGTAGATCAGTAACTGAGTTAAGCTAGATACTCTCTGACTAATCTGATCGCCAGATGCTAGACTACTGTAACACACTCTGTGTGGGGCTGCCTTTGGAGACAATCCAGAAGCTGTAGCTGGTGCAACTGTGAGATTTGTGACAAGTCAGATCCAACAGTGTGGAATAACATTTGTAGCCAGTGCACTAGTTATTAGTAGGCTTCCAAGTTCAATTGAGACTGATGGTTATTAATTTTAAGTCCTTTTGTGGTGCAACACTGGGAAGCCCCAGACAATCCCTTGGAAACATGGAATCAGCCCATCCAGGCAAGTCATCTAAAGAGGGTTAGCTGCAGGTTGCCATCCTCAAGAAGGTCATGGGGTGTGGACCAAATGACCCTGTGGAAGACTCTTCCCCCCAGAAATTTGGACCACCTGGATTTGATTTAATTTTAGAAAGCAATTAAAAGCAGTATTTTTCCAATCTGCCTTCAGCCCTGGCTGATCGTGGATGGCTATCACAGATATTGCTCAAGTATGTTTGGTTTGGTGTCTTCTCCTTCTGTATATACTGCTTCTACTTGTCTTTCATCTTAGCCACCCAGGGTCCTTGGGAACTGGGGTGGATTATGAACACTGTGAAATAAATACAGAATAAATGCCTTTCCTTTTGCTTCTCTCCTCCTCCTCCTAGGGTGCCACTGGAGACAAAGGAGATAAGGGCGAAACTGTAGGTTTGCATGCTCTCCTTCTTTCTGTGAGACATCTTCAAATCTGGCCAATTCGTCTCTTGGGATTTTTTCATGCCCTCCCTCTGTGTGAGTGTGTGTGTGTGATTATGTTGTGTCTCTGCAGGGACTGCCTGGCCCCCCCGGGATTCCTGGAGAGACCGTGAGTAATGCTTGTGGTCTTAATTTCTCCTAGGAATGGTTGCTAGATATGGAGAGACCAAGACTCTGATTCGCTAGCATTTCCTTTGGGAAACCCTAACCCTAAAGAGTAGGAAGTGACCTGGTGAGAAACTAGGAGCTGAGTGATGTCAAAGAGGAAGCAGAAAAAGCAGTTTGAGAGGGGACCTATGACCCAAGAAGTGGTTCATATCCCCTTCACTACATGTGTTCAAGCAGACGTGTGGACAGTCACCACCTGGACTAAACAGGGAGTTGGACACTCAATGGACCTTCTAATATTTATGATCCCATGAAAGGTGGAAAAAGGAAGTTAGGAATAGAAGGCTAGAGAAAAGAATGGATGGGTTCTCACAACACCTTAATTAGGCCTAGAAAGTGCATCTGGGCATTCATTCATTCATTCATTCATTCATTTATATTTCAAATTTGTCACCGCCCATCCCACCGCAGAATGACTTGAAGGCACAGAGCACATGAGATGCTTGCTTAGTTTTAACCTTGCTTAATTATTTTCATGACCTTGTGTAAACTCAGGCCTTTGAGTTAGTTTGTAATTCAGTGTGTTATACAAATGGGTAACTCCAGGAAGGAAGTGAAGGAAGTCTCTTGTGCAAACCAAGCCAATCCATGCTACGTGGTTCACACGCTCGCCTTGAATTCCAGAAACACAGTTTTTTGTCCAGGGTATGGGGCCAAGCTATTGTGATAATAGGGGAAAAAAGCAGGATAACATCTAGACATTTAGATCTGCAAATCAGAATCTGTTTCAAATAATGAATTGTATTTGCAATCCTGATCCTACTTGGTCTCTGGATCTCTGTCCAAAGTGATTTGATTCTGACTTTCAGACTGAATTAGGGGGGAAAAAAACATTTGGGAAGATGTACAGTGATGTTCAGACCAACTCTGATTTACTGGTTCAAGCTGGAAATGCAATTCAGAGATTCAATTCAATTGCTTTTGAACCAAATCTCCAAACACCCTTGCCCACCCTTCCTAGGCACTAACTGAGTCCTGCTACTCCCCAACTTTTTGTGGGGGAACTTCTGTTTCACAGCATGCATTATAACTGGATTTCTTCTCCTCCCCCTGAATCCAGAATGTGGGGTACTAAATCATTCCAACTACCTTCAGGTATTTGCTACCTCCAAGTGAGACCTCGTCAGCAGGTAGCCATTTCTGGGGGTTGGAGTAGCAGTAGGATCTTCATCCTTCTCTGAAGACTCATCCAGTTCTGAACTGAGCCTGACCAATTAGTGGCCTAAATTATATTGAGAAAGTAGGTTCTTGAGGTGTTTATTGTGATCTCCAATGGACAATCAACAGATTACCTAGCTCCGAAGGATAAATCTGGTTCTTGTAAACTGCAGCCATTTCCAGATTCACCATTGGGTGGAAATTTCAATAACTGGGGAAGTCTGTTTCTTGTAAGGCACAGCACCAAGCCTATCGTTCTGCAAAAATGCATATACCAAGATTTAATTCCCATCAATTTGGGTAGATTGCACCCTGGCGTCACCAAGACTTTGCTTTATTCCCCACAACATCATTTTGGAAATGTTTCCAGATGTTTCAAGACAAAAGCATTAACAACTGAATACTTGGCCACCTTCTCAGTCAGCCAGCAGACATTCTTGTAGCAAACTTCATGCATGCATGTGTGAGGAGGATGAAATTGCACTGAGTGGATCTTCTATAACTTGCATGACAGCACTTTGCACACTTCTTCAGCCATGTCTTGCACAAACAGTCACATGTTGCATGAAGGCATGCTTGTCCATTTGTCTGGATATCCTTCTTTTGGTAACACCTAAAGCCATTCTCAGAAAACAACTCTGTATCTTGAAAACCTCTCTTTCATACTCTGTCACTTGCCCATTGCAACTGATGACCCCGATGGATAAAAAGGGACTCTGCCATTGGTACTAATGGGCTCAACATCTCTCTTTCCTCGTCTCTTATTCTTACTATCTTTGAGTAGGGTCAAAAAACAAGGCTAAGTCTTGGGGTTGCACTGGCATACAATGCCCTCCCCGGTACCTCTAAATAATAATAATCAGAAGTGTTTGGAGAATATTTGCAAAAGTTGTTCTTGCAAGGTCCTGCTTCCATCCTGAAAGATTCTTTCTTCATCTCCTCTGACTTCTTTAGGGTCCTCCTGTGGAAAGTACCATCTTCATCAAAGGAGAGAAGGTATCATTTTTTTTTCTCTGTAGGAAAATCATAGACATTTCTTAATAGCCAGGCAGTATGTATAGTATGCTAGACCATGTTCAAATGGAATTGACTAGCTGTGTGGTAGGAACCCAGACAGTGGCATAGCCTTTGTGTGACCTAAACAAGCACATTAAGCCATAATATGATTTCTTTCTTTGGCCACTGCATGCTATATGAGCAACTACCTTTTCTTAATCTGTGTTTATGGTTTCGTAGGTTAGGTGAACTCTGACAATTTGATGCATGATATCACTGAAGAGTTAATCTGCCCTTGGAGATGCATTTTATACAGTCCATGTAGATATCAATTGGGTTGGCCACCTCCCCAAGAGCAAGAATAGGAATCCTCAATTCCTGGAGGCATTCATCTCTCTTTGATGTGGTCACTAGAGTTTCTGCTCAACTGCCAAGAGGTTTGCTACCAAATGTGTTAAATCTCGGAAGCAGGGGTGGGTGGGCTCAGAAAAAAAGAAGGTTTCCTGAGAATTAGGGCTATCCCTTATCTAAAGTGGGACATCAATACCTTTTAAGTTGCCCCCTTTTCATCTTCCTGATGACCAAACAGATTTACTTTGTACCTTCATTTTTAATATATGTGTGTGTGTGCAAGAGAGAGAGAGACTCAAAATGATATATATTTAATTTGAAGGCCGTATTTGGACAGTATGTAGTTGCAAAAATGTCTATGAGAGCATATATCTTTCTGAGCTCTTGGAAGTTCTGGCTCTCCATCAAAGAGAGAATATTTATTATTACAAGTTACAAAAAATAAACATTGATTGTTAATTGATTATTTGAACAGTGATCATTATATTTATATGAAGATTGATTATTAATTGATTCAATGTTTGTGTTTGAAGTGGCTCCTCCCACTTTCTCTTTTTTGCCACACCTACTTTTCTCTGTCCCCACCCACTGTTTGAATGTGGCCCTCAGCACATCCCAGAAGACTTGAACACACCCCAAGGCTCCACAAATAATGTCTTCTCACCCTCAAGACAGATTTTCTTCATATCTTCCTTTCAGCATCAGAGGCCACTGAAAAATTGGTGACAAAACTAGTGGGGAGATGCAAAAGTGAGGGTGAACCCTTGAGGAAGCTTCTAGAAAGCAGGTGATTCTCTAGTAAAATAGAAAAGTTCAAGGATGAAATTTCCAGCCAAGGAAAATGCGAATCCGTGACTTGGGTGCCCTTCATTCCACCGGAATCTGTAAAAGCAGACACCAGATTTCTGTGAAATGAAGCCCACCTGGCATGGAATTCCTCTTGCCTCCTCCTTCAAGAATTTGGTAAGCAAAGATTTGATAGCTTCCTCAAATGTCCAGCTGGAGAAGTTGGACTCAGGAATTTTCAAGTGAAGAAATCAGTAAGACCTTGGAGAAGGCCACATGAGTCTATGGGTCAATATCTCACCTCATGGGATGAAAAAAAAATGTTGCTGGGCAGAGAAATTATTTTGTTTTCCCTATTAGTCCTAATTAAATCTGAGGAGAGAGAATTTCCTTTAGGAATTTTTTCAAAGAAGAGAAATTCAGAACAATATTCAGGGTCGAGTATGGTGGTCTTGCACTTCCTTAGGTAGAAGATGGCAAGGATGTACATGAATTATACAATCTTTTGTTGCACAATCATCC